GAAAACACAAGGAGATTTTCAATGTGAAACATTTAAAATTCGACGCATTGCTACTTACAAACGGAAATGAAAACGTAGGCCTATCCTTTGAAAAAAAATGATTAGCATAGAGGTGTCATACACGCCAAGCACGGACGCAGCTAAACTTTTTTTTAACTGAAATTAAACTAAGTGACTTCTAACAACTGCCCTTACATTGCATCCATTATTTTCAATCGCGCCAGTGTAAAACACCGTATATGCTTAATGATTTTCTTATTTTTCAGAAGGGGGCATGTGTTCGTATGAACCTGTCTCATATCTTTTCCTATTGCCTTGGTATTAAGCTCTGTCTACACTCAAATTTTATGTGACAAAAAATGTGATGCCCATAAAATATTTGGGTGTACTACTACAACATCACGCCAGGGCACATCACAAAAATTTGTCACATATAATTTGATAGTATGGACGGAGCTTAAGGCCTGCTCAGAAACAACATTTTCCTAGGCCTAACCTATTGTTTAATATGAAATGTCACTAAGAAGTCTAGCATTATTTATTTATTTATTTATTTATTTATTTATTTATTTATTTATTTATTTATTTATTTATTTATTTATTTATTTATTATTTATTTATTTATTTTTATTATTTATTTTTATTTATTATTTATTTATTTTTTAAGTGGAAAGTAAACAAGATACGTGTGATTTGACTGACATAATAATCAGCTTTCCATACTTGCTATTAAATAATGACGTCAGAGGTGAAACTTTCATTAACTATATGCCTGTGGGCGTGTATACAGGCCATAGGCAGTATTATTGTAACTTGGTATAAGGTCCTAGTTCACCTCGAGAAGCCAGCTAGCAAAAATCCTGTAGGTGCATAAGCCCATGAGGTTGGCATTAGTATTCAACTGGTAGCCTATAAAGAATACTGTAACGTCCAGTACAGTATGAACAAAAAAGAAGACTAATGTTTATATTTTCTTTTATTGGGTGACGTTTATATCTGCGATATGAAAGTAAACTATGATATGATATTATAGTATTATAATAATATAGATATTGTATCGAATATTTTCTAGTTGGATAATAACAAATGAAACGACTGTAATAATAACGATAACTTTAGTCTAAAAACGTTTGATTCTGATTAGGCCTACAATGTAAGAATATACGCATGGTGACGTATTAGTACTGTATGCAGGATATACAATGGAGGTACAGGTATAAGTAAATGTATTCAGATTCATATTTTAACTTGTAAATTAAAAACTTACTTTATGTATGCATATAATGTAAATTAAAGTCTGGCTCCTGAGGAAAACTTATTTTGATATGTTGAACAACTAATTTTTCTAAGACACAAAATTCTTATTTGACGAAAAGCTGTGGAACGGTTAATGAGGAACAGATTTTTAAATATTTAAAAACGAGGGAAAGTGGTGGGGGGGGGGGGAACCTAACCACTCTTTTGTCCACCTTTTCCTCTAATTTCCTAAATACTAAAAAATATGTATCTCAATAACCGTTCCCGTGTTTTTTTTGCTTTTTGTGTCTTAGAAAATATAATCAGTTTTAGGTCTACAACATATAATAATAATAAATAATAATAAATAATTTTTTTTTATCCCCAGGGCCTGACTTTAAATACTGAATTAATTTTTTCTTAGCTCATAACAGACAGTATGTCTTTAAAAAGTCGTGTGGGCAGTTATTAATGATTGAATGACAGTGATGTTATCAGGGAATAATAATAATTAATTAGAATTATAAATTTAAAATGCAAATCAGATCAAAATATTCAGGTTCACAGTCAGTGCGATTACTGCTGCGAACATTTCAAATTACAAAATCAACAGTAGGCCTACCTTGGGATAATAACTAAGCAAGGTGTTTCCCTTTTAGCTTATCGTCAGGGTAGGTTCCTTCTGCGAGGTACCACAGAGAGTTGAATTCTATGTGGTCGGCAGTTCAACACGCGTGTCCCCATAACTCTTTCGTAATAGGGTCATTATTACTGACTTTATCGTAATGCATATTCACAATAGTCATATGTTTAGCAAAGTCTTTTAGATAAAAAAAAAAATAACGACCTAAAGAATTTGATTACACATTTTTGTTAATGAAGAAAGTGAAAAATGTGAAAATCGTGTGGATTTTGCCAAGTATCTCCACTACAGTCGATCATACTGTATGCTACATGCAACTAGATAATTTAAATACCATTCAATAATGGTTCTTCGAACCATTATTATTATTATTATTGGGCTTTGCAGAAAATCTACAAGAAATTTATAATTTGATATAGGCCTAACCGATTACTTAATACATATTAGTCACCAATGGTAAAGATACTGTACCGAGATAGTCTTTTCCTGGACGTTACGTACAGTATACACGTTTTTAAGAACACTGAGTTTAAAAAAAATAAGAACAAATTGAGGCTGAGGTAAATAAGAACAAAATAAGAACATTCTGATCCTGAAATTGGCAAAATTTTAATGATTCTTGTAAGTACAGAAGAAGAACCAAAAACAGACGTGTTTCTTAAAGTTGAACATTTAACCTATACACTATTATTTTTAATGCATTTATATCCGTATTTTGAATTTATTCATGTTCTGCATAAGGTCAACGTTTATTTTATAGCTTGGCAGTATCAGAGTTCGTAATAAGTACTCTGATAATGGGACAATTTTAACACAAGAAGTGGGATTTAACGTATATAAATCCCACGCAAAACAATATATAACTACTTGGCATGTGTGGTTTTAACACGTAACATTGTCTTAGTTATCGTTAGAAAGTCAATGACAGATTGATTAGTATATTGGACTTTTTAAATGTCACTTCAACAGTTTTGAAAATACTACACTTATTGGGTAGTATAGGCCAGCCTATTCATGAATGAAGTGAACCGGTGTTCCGTAAATCAAAGGCTAGATTCACATTAAACATGAGGAGCATTGGATGTCATAGGCCTAATATCCTGGAATTTATAGCCGTTAGTTTATTAGAGGCCTATATATGTCGTATCGTCAATATCACGGAACTGGCATTTTCTTGAGTAAGAGCAAGTTAAAATACAGTAATGCCAGTATACTAGTTGTGCTAGGATGATGATAAGGAAGTGATGATGCTGATTATTATTATTTTGTGCGTTATTTTTTTACATAAACTAACTACAACGTTCACCACGTTTATGAATATTAGGCCATATAATAAGGTAATGTGTTTGCTGAACTACGGTATGTTCTTGAATAGGGTCTACCGTGACAACTGGGGGGATTTGAAGTAGACCTTAAATTAATTTATTAATGTTTTTGACCTTGTAAGCCAATGTATTGTTGATTTTTCATCAAACCGGTACGGTACGATGCATCTCAAGCCGAATGTGACGAAAGTTAAATTGCCGATTTGCACGGTCAGGGTTAATGTCAAGGTTTGTCTCAAATCACAAGTGTCCAATTGAAGTAGGAACACACATATGACCGTGATGAGGGTGAAAAGTAAAGATGTATTGCGGAGGACATCCGGCGTGGGTAGCATTTTAAAAGACCCTACTAATTACTGATTCGTAAAGAATACAATCACGCTACAGTTCACGCTTGAACTTTTCAAACAAGTTGTTATCTCAGGAGGATATATTCTTGAAATCTATTGTTTTTACTGTACACTTTTTTGTTACTGAACACTGAGGCTAAAATTGTTTAAAAATAAAGAACAAAATAAGAACAAATTGATGTTGAGTTAAAATGTCAAATGAGGTTTTTATTTTTTTTTTAAATAGAAAACCAACAAATCTTATCTGTACCTTATTTGCAGTAGGTAAGACTATGTAATACCCCCTGTAGTACAGTACAGTATTCTAATGTACATGTTGTAAAATAATAATTTTCTATGTTTGAAAGTGATTAAGAACAAAGTGAGAACATTTTAAGTCTGAAATCGGCCAAAAAATAAAAACACGGAACCTGGGCAAAGTTTTACTAGTTCTTATAAAAAAAAGTGTAATTCTTAGTAAGTTAAAACCTGATTATATTGTGATCTTTAAAACATACTTAAAACGATTGAGGAGGTGTCCACGAAAGAAAACATCGGAAAGCTGTCAATTTACATAATTTTTACCGTTTTCTATTGCACTACGGATGAAGTGTTCCATAGGTTTAGCTAAGTTGTTGTTTATTCTCTGTGTTTTACGGTCATGCAGCCTAATGGCTTATTATGCTCTAATTCAACGTTGGCCCAGCTTCTCCTGAAGGTTGTATGTTTGGCGCTGGCGGGTGGGTTTTTCTTCCTTTTTATTTTACAGGATGGTAGAAAAGAAAAACAATTTCGATATTTACTACCTTCACTCATCAAGTGTGATTGAAGATGGCACAGTCCCTGGAGGTTATCAAAGCACTTATCACTACTCGACTTATTACGTACCTGTCAGGGCAAACAACTGAAATTGCTACCTTATACGTTAATTTGATTTATGAGGGCAATCGTCGACGGTTCCATTTTTTGTAAGATGACTAACCCAATTGGTTATTTTGAAGATTCATTCAAGAATTATAAAGCGAGTACTGTTATGAAATATAAAGTAAAGTTTGTGTTCATATGACGAATGTAGTGATGTACGAAATTGTACACAAAACTCATTGATGATAACTTCCGTGACTCAGTGCTGGTGTATCCTGTTTCAATAATGGAATAGTCTGATAAAACTCGATATATAGAGTAGTTCATCAGTAGGACTATTATTATTTGGAAGTAGCAGAAAACATTAAGGTTATACGTAAGGTTATACTTACTGAAGAGAACCTCAAAGAAGAAACCCATACTTTAAATTATACAAAAATGCACCGTCAGACTATAAATCTGCTAGTTTGGTTAGCTGTTCTCGTTGTGCTTTCAACATCTGTTTTAGCAAAAGTTTCAAAGAAACGACTTAAAAACACAGGGAGTGCAAAATCAGACGTACTAAAACGCCAGGGTTTTGTACTTAACATAACCGGAGATGGTAGGCCTACCCGTCAGAGAGGGAAAGCCATAACGTCCTATTCCATTGCACCACCTCAGGAAAAATCGGTAAGTTTCTATTTTTTGACATGTCAAACTTTAGACGTTTTCCAGGGTAATCGAGGATATAAGTAATTTCCGATCGTAATCTGGGTTAGATGATCATTACTCGCACGACTGAAATTATAGCCCATACAATTTTGCTGCGAATTTAAAATACAGGTTTTTAATGTTAATGTTGGCATTGGTTTTAGAAATGTTAGATCGATTTTGGTAACTTTGAACTTAACTTCAACAGGCCACTTAATGATTAGAGTTCAACATACAACATGTTTTTGGTAGAACCTTTATGTGCTGCAGCCCGATTTGTGAGATTTCCTAAACTTAAAAACAGAGAAAGGATGATCCGTCGGATTTTTCTCACCCGTTGTCAATTTCAAGAGCCTATACCCACCCCTACTCGCTACCCTAATAATGACATTGTCTAGGTTTCCGGTGTCATTTACAAACTTACTGGGTGTGAACGGTGTTGTATGTTATTATACTGAGTGTTATGTTTCACATTCATAGCACATGACGAATAAAGGATGTTTATACTTTGATAGTAGTCATCTAAAGATACTTAATGATCCGTCGGAATGTTCTCACCCGTTGTCAATTTTAAGAGCCTATACCCACCCTTACTCGCTACCCTAATAATGACATAATCTAGGTTTCCGGTGTCATTTACAAACTTAATGCGTGTGGACGGTGTTGTATGTTATTATACCGAGTGTTATGTTTCACATTCATAGCACATGACGAATAAAGGATGTTTATACTTTGATAGTAGTCATCCAAAGATACTTAAAATTTACTACGACATTTTTAAGTAAAGTCCAATTGTCTAATGACGTAAGCGTCGCCGTTTTTTCGAAGAGGTTTGATAAGGAAGACATGATGCCTTAATATAATACATCCGTAAAAGCAATAAGAAACTTTGCCAAATCACCAGAGGTAGTTGACCGGTACAAGTTATTACCTTTAACATGGTGATCTGCAGTGTTATTCAGGCCTAGATGTGTACATCTCGAAAATTCGTCGCGTCTGAGGTGATCGTTAAAGCAGAGACACGGGTCCGTGGTTAAAGAGAGGGTAAACCATCTGAATGTCTGAACAATTGTGGGAAACATGGTTTCAGTCTTCAATTTTATTAAAGAAGCAGGAAGACAACCAGAACCTCATGTTACAAAATAGCATTTTCCTAACAAATAGGCCAACTGTCGAGTTACTTTCATTAATATAATCTTGTGATTTATCAGGGATGAATGTTATAATTATATATATGTTGACTCATTCATTCGTTATTTTCTTCGAACCAGTAATTAATCTTGTCATAATATCAGTCTCGTGTTTAAACTTGTACTAAACACGTTATGTATGCCAGCTGACCGTTTTATTCGCTCACAATTCAACCTTTGTTACTATTTTACTATTGGAGTTTTAAAGAGGTTGACCCCACGTGTAGTTCTATAATCTACCAACTTCATCCTAATGTATTAAACAACCCTAATTACAGTAATGTCCGCGATGTAGTATTACGGTAACTTTTTATTTTAATAGACACATCCTAACGTTCGGCTAAAAAAGAAACGATATTAAGAATGGTTTGATTGGAATTTTGAGGTTTTCACAACAAAGGCCTATATTTATAATCATAAACTACGAAACAACGCGACCCTAAAAGTAAATAATAAATAATTTAATTTTTAGTCTTATTAAAATAATACTAAAACCTCAGGAAAACGAGTCAATTTTTAATGCTATTTTCTAGGCCTATGAATGTACGTAACAATTGCCCATTAGTTCTCCATCTATTTATGGCGCATAAAATTTCATAGCTCTGTCGCCATGGGGATGTAAAGTGCATCTTCGAAGATAAAGTGCACACTCATCTGACCTTATAAGCCATCTTTTAGCGTCCATTTACCATAATTTTATTTACGTCTGTAAACAGGTCGTTTTGTACGCTTTGGCACTTTACTTTACAAACGGTCAGAAGTGTGAAATTGATAGATAGCTGAGTGGGAACGATATCTGTTGGACTTGAAGGACAATAGTTGTAATAAATCCAACGTACAATCAGCCTCTCCATATATTTGGCGCGTAATGTTCCATTTAATGTGGAGCGCGCTCGCCAGCAGTAACACTCACGCTGGTTTCAATGACATTAGTATGTTTAACCATAGAGAAAATAGTCTCTATGGTTTAACATATTGTTTATAATAGGCCTAAGCCTGCTGACTCGATAATAGTCAGTGTGATGCGGGCAGTAGGTCGCCGATGTTACAAACCCTGATTGATGGAGTTATAATGGGATCTAAATATAGAAACAAATCGACCTCATTTTGTAAACTTTGTTACTGGATTTGAGCTAAAAAAAATTCTTAATATGATATCGAGTTGTGTTTCCCCCCAAAATGATGAAGATTATTAATAATATAATAATATAAAAATTATATGAATGGTTGTTGCAACGAGAGGCTATAGTCAAGAATTAATAATAAAAATAACATAATAATAATAATAATATGATTCTCTCAAGTAATGTATTTTTTTTTTTAATTTCTGTTTATTCATATTTTTCAAATTTCTGAATTGCACGTAGGCCTACTATTGTTTTATGCGAACACAAATTTTATTTTTACTGTGTTGTTAAAATGACAATAAAGAAATATCGTATCGTAATAATAATTAATATTATTATTAAGTGTTAATGATAATAATAATGGTGATAATACTATTAATAATCATAATAATAATTATACTGTAATGTCTATAGGACTAATATCCTTCTTCTAATGATAATGATAAGCCTATTATAATACTGATAGGCCTATAGTAATATCAATATAATAATTATTATGTCCATGAGGATGATGATGATAAATAGGCCTATTATATAGTAATATTATCTGTAATACTAAAAGTACAATATTATAGTATCAGTATCAAAACAACCACTGCAGTCTACACAACATATAGGCCTATCCATACAGTATTGACCTACTATCATAACTCTACTTATACGATTAATCACAATTTCCTCCGCTTCGAATCGTTGTAAACGGGTGTCGATAATGTCTGGGTTGGGTGGCATACGCGTCATGTCACATAAAAACTGTATGTTTAACTAAAAAAAACACAAAAAAAACGAAATTTTGTGAATCAGTTGATTTATGTGGCATCGTAATAATCTCGTTATCGTTTAAGGCTACGAGTAGGTACGTCATCGCTTACGATATAGACCTCTTCTGTGATTGCCTAGGCAATGAGAAGTGCATCGTACTCTTCGTTTTCTTCTCCCCCAACATTTATAGACCAGCATCATGATAGTTATACAAGGGCGTATTGCGAATGTGGCACCATTTTGGTGACCTGTAAGGGGCACAATATTATAGGACAATTTTCAAATCCGTTTGCGTTAACCACTAATAATCGCTTGTCAATCAAATATTAATTTTGAAAGTGACCAATTGAGGTTGTGATACCTAAATTTAAGTGATGAGGGGAGGGGGCGAATTTATAAAAATTAAACCTGGAAATAGAGACATCACCCATATATAATCGTCAATCAAACTAGTGTGATGTGCAAAAGGAAATAACGTCAGCCATGTTCAGCCCTCTATGCCTATTTATACTTCAATGATATAATTATGTTTATCTAATTAACCTGGTAAGGTTTCTCCGAAAGTCAATTAGGTTCAGCGACGTACGTCAGCATGAAAAGAACCTGTTGTAGGGGAATTAAATAAACTGTTTTTGACATCCATATTTTGACGTGTTGAGCATGAACTGTCTGTGTCTACATAAAATGAGATTATTACATAGGCCTATTTAAATTAGGACTGCATACCGTACTTTATATATAAGGCAGTTATGTTATCATCTCTCAGTGCCGTATCCCAGGATTGTCATGAATTGTGAGGGAGAGAGAGGCTGACTGTGCAGAGATGTACCATAATGACCCAACTTGACTATTCTAGATTAAAATTGTGGCTCTTTTCTGCACCCCCTCCTAACAAGCTACTGCCCCGGAATGCCCTTAAATTATAAATATCACATGATCGAGAACAGCAGGACTTTTTCCCAGTTAAATAAAACGACATGCAATCGAATTGTTTAGTTTAGTTCATTTCAGTCGGCAACACAGTGCCCATAATTGGGTGAACAGCAAGTTTCTTGTTTATACAGTACATGTGATATTGTATTGTGATATATTTTCAAATTTGTCGGAACATACAGTATACTTTCACTGACAAAAATTATATCATTGTCGTCATCATCATCATTCTAGTCATCATCATCGTCGTCATCATCATCGTTATCATCGTCGTCGTCATTGTCACCCAATGTGATTAATCTAATGTTCTCTGTTTTGTTGTTTTTGATAGGTTCCTCGATATTGTGTACTTTACTGTAATTCATAACGAACGCGGCAGCATATAATTTAAAGTATATTTCTATGTGTCATCGTATGTACTCAAAGTTATCATAAATATTATGACTATAATATGACCACATTATACATGTTATCTAAATCTATGCACCCACTACATTCTTATAAAACCGTATACAGCCACGCATACCGTAAACATTACGCGATAAATAAATTATAGTACCAGATAGCAACATAGGTTTGTATTTTGAATTTTGCCTCATCAATCTTGATAAGGAAACAATTTACTGGCTTTATAAGGTAAAGAGTTGCTCTCTTGAAAGTTTTGCCATGACACTTGCGGGCCATTGTAGAGAGCTCCCTCGATTTCCCACGAAAGTACGAACGATTTTGCTTTTTATTCACCAATAGGAGGCTAGCATTCACCATCGTATGGATGTATACAACTCCACTCGGTTTTATCTATTTTCTCTATGGTTTTATTCTGAATTTCTGATAAAAATTTTAAAAGCCAAAGTTGTGCTCGCCACGACAATTATCTCCATTGTTTTTTGTTTTTTTCTCATTGTTAATAAAATAATAACTGTAAATGATAATACATTTCCGAAAAAAAAAAATCAAAAAAATTAATTTTACCTTCAGTTTGTATCTTTTACAAATGGAAACGGTATGATCTTTGATCTTGAGATAGGCTGCACACGTCAGGCCTATTTATTATTCTGTTTTATTACATAACCATGTCCTATTTCAAAATATGTCTACTGAATTTGATTGCAGAAATCTCAGAAAAAGAAGAACCGGCGACCGGGGCCACAGAATGATTTGACAGCAAAGCAACAAAAGCAGATTGTAGCCTGGCATAATAGTTACCGAAAAAGAGTCCCCGGACCAGCTGCCGACATGGAAGAAATGGTAAGCTTGGTTAATAATAGGTTAATAGCTGGCTACATGTGTAATGTCTTATCCATTTATAAGAATACGATTAGATCAAGCGAAATAGGATATGAAGTTGAAATGCATCAATCAATTACTAGTGATTATGTCAAATGTACCGTGAAGGGTTTTGTTGGATATCATAAATTATTTGTGACGTTTTTAGATAGCCCGGCATACTGTCCACTGCGCTGACGGTCGTCGTTTCGTAGTTTCCATAAAGACAACACACGACGAGGAGCACGCATGGGATCGTTCTCAGACGATCCGCTCAGACCGCCACGGACAATCAGCAGAACGGCGCTGTGTCGTCAAGCGCTCACAGAGAGCAGAGACGGATTCGTCGGCCGACGGTCACGACCATTGTACGACTCAGTGCGTGCCCTTCTTGGCACATTTTTAGAACCTCTCCTGCTACTGCTCCTATTGGAATCCATTCCTCTTGGAGCACTGGAACTGAGACTAACAAAATCTCTTTGACAGCCATTGCAATAACAGCTTCAATACATATTCAAATGTTTGTTTGGTTTTTTTTCTTTCTTTTTTTTTTTTTTTGGTATTCATTTCCTCTTTTTGTTTGGCTTATACATACAGTCTTTGCTTATATTCTGATGTGACGGAGAGCTATTTGAGTGATTCCGTAGGATAGAATTTGCCACAGGCATATATGTATAATATAGGTCTTATTATGTTATACTTCTATTATTATTATTATTATTATTATTATTATTATTATTATTATTATTATTATTATTATTATTATTATTATTATTATTATTATTATTTTAATTATTATTATTATTATTGATTATTTTAATTATTATTATTATTATTATTTCTAATGAGGACATATTTTGATCGACTATTTTAGTATTTTTTTTACTTATATCTTTATTAAGAAATGGGATGATAAGTTGGCGGATATGGCAAAACAATATGCGAAGCAGTGTGTATGGGAGCACGGCAACCCTGATATGGAGACAAGATACCATTACATTGGCCAAAACCTTGCATGGAGTAGTAGCAACTCACGACAAAGCTCCGCAGCGTTCATGCTCTCTTTGTGGAACAACGAACGAAAATACTACAATATCTTGACAAACCAATGTCAAGAGGGAAGGATGTGTGGACACTACACTCAGGTATTCACATTTTTCTCATATATTCATAAATGTTTCATTAGAATATTTCTTTTTATCAACAAATACTTTCATAATACAATTTAAAGTTATCAAATCTAAATTTGAAATATATCAGTTTCCTTATGCCTGTTGTGTTAAACAGATTTTAAGTTCCAATAACCTTTCCATTATACTAATAATCAAAATATTTAGATAATATTTACACACCAAACTTATTAATATATTAAAATACACATGTGAATATATCATACATTCATAAAAAATTAACAATTTATATAATTGGTCTACATTGTTTTAAATTCTTTTAATATAAAATGTTCCAAATTTCATCCGTATTAAATATAGTGTAGGCCTAGCAGAACTAATTGAGATCGGTTTTTATGAGATACTGTACTTTTAAGATAGTTTGATGACCCAATAATTAATGAGTTTATAAATAAATTTCCTTATTTTTCTAATCTTCGTAAGTCCACTTACAACGCTTGTATAACTGTCCTTTGTAATTTGTCAGATGGTGTGGGCAAGTACTAAAAATGTAGGATGTGCCATGAACTTCTGCCAAAGTATGTTCGATCCGGCCTCTGGAACGACGTTCAAAAATGCTAACTACTTAGTCTGCAACTATGGTGAAGCGTAAGTGAACTTTTCACGGTAGGCCTTCACAAGGAATAATTGTGCGTGCGCATTTTAAGGTCAGAGCAGGCGTACATATGCAAATGAGACTACGCACTGCATCTAAGTTGCAAAAACGAAAAGTTTACAACCTCTGTATTTTAGTTGGCCACCGCATGTGTACATGTCCATGTTTACCATCAAACTAGGTTTGATTGGGCCTATTATTAATACTACTGTATTACCATTATCATCGTCATCATTGTTACTGTTATTGACATCATGATCATTCATCGTCATCATCACCACAATCATCAACATCATCATCATCGTTATTGCCTTTCACTATCATCACTATCATCATCATCATCGTCGTCGTCGTCACATCATCCTCATCATCATCATAATTATTGTCACAAGTTATCACCATCATCATTGTCATCATTGTCATTATCATCATCAATGTCGTCATCGTGTCATTTACTGTACAAATTTGCTATCAATGCTTCATCGAAGGTGCCCAATCAATATTGTTAATCAATATTTTAAAAATAAATTATATATATATATATATATATATATATATTAACTCGTTAACCTAGATTGAACTATGTAAGTACAAAAGTTACCGTAATTATCATAGTATCACGTGCGTTCTCACGCGAAGGCTATCCCACGTTCACTCCCAACATTTCGTTTCTACAACGTAGACCTAAATCCAATAGGCCATAGTTTTAACTTTAAAAAAAGCTTATTTAGTGTATTTCAAAAGCATTCAATTGAAAGTGAGAACGAGAACAAAATAGTTGCCAATATACGGACATTTACATACTATTTCTATTGCGCATGCTCCAATTTCTGCCATACATTTTTTGAAAGTTGTGTTAAAACGTTTGTAAATCTTTTTTTTTTTATTTGTGATCTACAATTATAATTTTCTAAACTTCGCAAGATTGTTTGTGTTGCACTAAGCCTATAAAAATAATTTAACTTTAAGTTTTCTTTTTGCAATGAAGCATTCAGGTGTACGATATATCCGTGTTTTGACCTGCCAAATTCGATTGCAACATATATTATCAATGACGTTTTTAAGATGTCAACTCATTTGTTTTGATCAAAAGTGCATGCGTAGGCCTATAGACGAATGTATAGTCCATGTTAGAGATTGGAAATTTTCCCCACCAAGAATGCTTTAATTACGGATGTGGCGCCACCATGAACATATTTATTACGCTTTTCTTGAAACAGGATGACCATTAAAGTTAAATCTGTTTTAGGAAATGGCGTGTTCAAAAAAATCAATATCGTATTTAGAGATGCAATAAACAAAGTACAGATGACCTCAGATTGAACTCTGTATTTTAGACCTATATTCTAAATACGATATTCATTAATGAAAACCAAGAAAATTTTTAAGTTAAACAGAACCTTAACATTATCCATTGGGTAGAGAATAATAATTATTTACGTACAGACCTATAATTTTGAATGCATTTACAGAGGAAATGTGGTGGGAAGAAAGCCATACAGTATTGGTGAACCATGTAGCAAATGTGAGTCGGGCAAAGGTACATGTCGCAACGGACTCTGCAGTGAGTATTGTTTTTTCTCTTTAAAATTATTTTAAACGATGTACACTTCCTTATAAGGATCCATTTTATGGACAAAGGCTAAAATTACTTATAAAGAAGAATTAAACAAGAACAATTGAGGCTGAGGTACTGTCAAATAAGGGTTTTATTACTAAAAATAGGGCCTACTTAGAAGACCCAACAAATAAGTAATTATGGAATAGTCACGTGTGGAAATAAGAACAAATTATGAACATTTTGAGCCTGAAATTGGCCAAAAAAATGAGTCTGGACAAAATTTTACTAGTTCTTATTTTTTTAAAACAGTGTATTGTACAGTTTATTCGCTATGATTTAAAATCACATATTAGCAGATATGCCTACTTTACCATTTTATAGTTATGGCTATTTCAGTATGACTATATAAAAATTATAAAGTATTACCGTACTTTCTCAAATCTGGTTGCTTGTATAGCTTGTATCTTATAAAAACAAATACAAAATAGCCTTTGCCGATTATTCCACCCTCTCCAGGGGGACTTGACCTAGACTTACAACTTATCCTTCATAGAAAGCCTAGCTTTTCAGCCGACATTGACAAAGCTAAATCAGATCCATTTTTCCAGAAAAGTATTTTTAAACTCCTGCAAGTTTTGTGAATTATGTGGGAAATCTCATAGGTCAGACCACAGCAGCAGACTTGCGATTTGTGAGGAATTGTTTCCGTGACTTACGGAGCCGTGCAATACTCTCATTAAAATTGCTCACCTTTTTGTAACTGTGCTATTGTAACTTTGTTACAGGTGATTGTAAAATCAACGGAAAAGACTGTGGTAAGTTCGTGATTCGAAATATAATAATAGTAATAAATATAGTAATTAATTCATTAGATTAATAACTTCCTTAAGTTTGAGTTCTGCTAACAATATCAATAGGGATACGTTGCAAATAAAATTCATACTATTTTATTGCCGTTAATTATAATACTAACATTATAAGCACACAGATAATAAATATATATATACGTTCCGTTATTGCAATCTCAATTGTCTAAAAAACACGTAACACGACAGTGTCGCGTTGCCGTTTATATGCGCAGAGAGCAAACAAGTTTCTGTGTGTAGGCATTAAAACTATATGGCTGTCACGCTAAAATTGATCAGGTTAAAAAAAAAAACAGCTTGGCGGACCGATTTTGGCTGCATATCAAGCCAATTATATTTCATTATTTTAGAGGTTCGGTGTCGTCATTAGGCCTATAGCTATAACATAATTATGAATGTAATTACTCTAATAATAATAATAATAATAATAATAATAATAATAATAATAATAATAGGAGGCTAAAAGTATAATAATGAATAGAACGCAGTAGATTTGGGTTGAGCGCTATAATGAGGTAGATTGATAGAATTCATGAATAGCTTTCATGAATACCCCACACCTCTTCTATTATTTAAAGGGTTCCGTGCCATCATTATGGCTATAGCTAGAGCATAATTATGAATATAATTACTGTAATAATATTAACAGGAGGCCAAAAGTAGATCATGAATACAACGCATTAGAGCCAAATCTGTGCGCTACAATGAGGTAGATTTATACATAATAAACCCACCCTTCTTTTTCCAAAACAACTTCTAAGACATGTCTATTGAAAAAACAAAAAACAAAACAAAAAAACCTTGGTTTTATTTGAAATAAAGCCAAACAGATGGCTTGGATAATAATGCTGATGATATCAATCGTTGATTCGCTGAGGCTTATATTTGGGCCCTGTTGACACAATACAATTAGCACACAACTCTATCATACATTTTACCAACTTTAAATTTACATTCTCACGAGTTTCGCCACAGTGTGAACATATCGCTCAACACACGCATATAAATGTAAATGTACCGCGCGCTGTCCGTCAGCCAATCACAGGGACGTGAAACCCTGGATTTCTTTAATTATCAACAGGTGTATACAAATACGAACTCAAAATTAAGTATGACGTCAACTTTTGAGGAGCTCTTTAATTTGTCATATCGCTACTGATTAGTTGCATCCTGGGCCTGTGGCAATGCTACTCTGAGCAGAGGACCACAAGGTTCTTTAATTCGATTACGGCTCATAATAGGCTCTACCCATTTATCTAATGAAAACATAAGCTATAGAAAGTGCAACTGCTTGACCGGCCTGAAGACTCAATCGTATTATATAAAGAAGATGTAATGGATATGGAAATCTCTTTAGACAACAAGTCAACCAAAATATGTAAGAGTGATTTCACATAGGCTTATTATGCAGGGGTTCTTAGCTTGTCGAAAATCGTGTCTGTTTTCATTCACATATCTGGTGGTAAACTTTACCTTACCTCATTATTTAATATTATTTTATTATATGACAATACAAACACATAGAACAACAGGAAAGTGGAAAGGTGTGGGGAGACGAAAGAGGTGTAAAATATGTATACAAAGCCTATTTCTCCAACTCCACACTAAAATATATTAATAGTGTATTATGAATTCACAAGGTTTACCTGATATGAATAAACGAATTTCTATTGATTAGCTTTCCAATTACTGTAACTTTCCAATTACTGATATATAACAACTTTATCTTTACCTCAATAGTGTGCGCTCTAAAGTGTGAAAACGATGGCATTTTAAACGACAAGGAATGTGCGTGTGATTGTGCACCCGGATTTACGGGATCATCTTGTCAGAGTAAGTAAAATTTAAACGAATCAGTTCACAAGATATAGTAAGGTTATATATTATGGCAGCTCATAGACCACATAACACCCTATCATTTTTTTTTTTTCGCTTCTGAGATAATTCGTTGGTTTGTTAGCTACTAATATAATTTCTATATTTAGAAACGACACTTTTACAACCCTTGCACACGTAACGGTGCGTCCAAAGAAAAACAAAACCAAGAAAAAAACTTAACAAATCAAGCTTATAAGAAAAAAGTTGGATGGATCTCCGATATCAAACATAGTGCATAAGTACGATTAGTCTGCGCCCTTGAAAAATTATTGTGGATATAATTATCACAATAATTGATTACCCAAAGTAATGAGAAGGATGAAGATCCAGGCCACAATTAGAAAAGTAATAACGCAATCGTTAAAATAGTTGGAGATTTTAATGAGGCAAAGGGGAATAGATCATCATGCAGACGGTCATGGCAAGGCGGATGTACGTGATGTGGTTTACCGTAACAAATCACGATGTAACATCTTTATCATGGGAAAAAAAACCGCTAAGAAATGCAAAGAAAATGACAAAACATATACTTAGCTAAAGCCCCACATTGTGTTTGTAACAATTGCATAGGCCTAGAAAGGACTCAAACATAGGAAAAAGGAAGGGAATGTTCGAATATTTCATCTGGTTTGCGTATTATAACTGTAGAACTGTTTAATCGCACTAAGTTAACATCCATTTTGATTGGTTTATTATATCGATCAAACAGTTCTAAAGAAGGAATGGTCAGGCACAGTACAACATCGACCAACCTGAACGCTGGCGGAGGTATTAATGATTATATTAATCTCGGATAGACCTATTAGGCCTACATTATGGTTGTCTTCTTATGTTTCATTGTTCTTGTTTTATAGATGCTTGTAACAACACACATCCTTGGTGTGGTAACGGTTGGCCCAAAGAATGGTGCTTCAAGTACGATGATGCTAACCCAGTAGAAACACTATGCCCCGCACTATGTGGATTATGCGGTAATTTTTTCTTTCATCTATGCTCAATTTTGATTTACTTTGCTTATTCTTTTAAATATTTACTTCCATTTGTTTTGAAAAACAAGTTTCATTCATTCATGGCCTAAAATGTAGGTTAAACTATTACTTCAAAACCATGCACAGTGCAAACACATACCATTTGGCATACACAGGTCTCCACACACATAAGCAACAATTTAAAAATAGCGAAACAGTGCAAAAAGTTAGCCTTATTTCATTAGAGGAGCGGCTTAATGTCCCATAAATTATATATGGTCTAATAGCTAGATATAATTTTTAAAAGAAACCACATATAACCAATCAAAGCCCAAATCATTTGACCAAGTATTTTAGTTTACTTCTTGAAATATACATGTAACATGCTGGGTTGTCCGATGACATATCATAAGTAAAAAGTTAGGTCAAAACTTTTTACTATTGCAAAGTAATTTTGATGTCCGGCACATCCAACGTACCGAACTATTTTTTCCTCCCTGAAAAGAAGAATACTTAGGAATATTGTTGAATGAGCTGATAACCTTCTTCTTTTCTTGCTACCAACTACGAGTCCATGACTTGAGTGTTGTGTTGGCTTTATCACCAAGTCACGTGCTTGTTTCCCATATAAGGAATTACTGAGTTCATCCATTTTGCTACCTTCTGAATGTTCTGTCTGGGGAGGAAATTTGACTTCCTTAGGGGAGCAATTGATGGTGATTAGGTCTTCGGTATGGACAACATAGATACTCTATTAGTCACGTCAATTGACAGGGTTAATCGCAGGTATAGTATAGAGAAAAAACAGGGGAGACGTTCGTTAGCATACTTAATTAGACTTGTGACCCCGATGATGCCGACTGCCCTGACCTGCAATTGTAGACTAATATTAAAATGTAATAGGGTTAGTGACATCGTCCAAATATAGGCAAAAGTGTATGAAAGTTTTGTGCCGGTTGAAAAGGTATAACTGTATATCTAGGCTCAATTTATTTGGGTCTACTTTGTACACATATGTTTACAAGACACCGGCGGTAACAGTCGTTGTAGTTCTTTACTTGTTACTTTGTTACTTCTATAGTGCTTTTCCTTGCGGTTACAAAGCGCTAATACGCTCCATTATAATTAATGCTTCCCCAAAGTAAAGCCCACCCCAACCAAAACCAACAGAGTATGCTTTCAAAGTAAATCAATGACAGGCCTAATAATGGAATAAAAGTATACAGAAATTAAAATAAAATGAGTACAAAACGACCAAGGCCGGCCCTAACATGCCCTAAACTAAATTAAAAAGGCAAGTTTTAAGGCATGTCTTAAGCTGTCTGACAGAGGCGAAGTTCTTAATGGAACGAGGCTGGATAGCCTATTCCATAATCGAGCCGCTATAGATGGAAAAGTGTCGATTCTCTCAATCCCTCTCACAGTGTATGATTAAGTTTGCTGACCATTAAAAAGTACATATAGCGTTACAAAATTAAGATTATATATATATATATATATATATATATATACAAAATTAAGATAATATATATGTATGTATATATATTTATACATATTTATATATATATATATATATATATATATATATAATATTATATTATATGATAACAGAAATACAATTCCATATTCTATCTTTACAGAATGTGGTGGCCCACCATGCCAAAACGGAGGTTTTAAAAACCCAGAAACATGCAAGTGCGAATGTACGGGCTCGTGGTCTGGCCCGTCTTGTTCAGGTTTGTACTTCTAATAATGTACCTACAGTATAGATGTAAACTTTTTGAATAGACTAATAATCGTAGCTTATGTTAACGTGTTTAAACTCTCCCATCTCTTTCAACGTGATTACGAGTACGAGACTTAAGGACAATATCGCGAACAAAGAGTTGATGTCTAAACGACGAAGTGAAAGTAAAGAACTGAGAAAGTAGGACATGCAACTGTACACGTTTCAATGAAACGAATACAATATTACCAAGATAAAGAAAATGACAATACAAACAATAATGCTGCACGAAGTAATGGAACTATCTGTGTTCAACACACATTTACACCTCTTTTTCTCTGACAGAATGCAATGTAAAGTGCGAAAACGGTCAACTTGACCCCACGACTTGCTCGTGTGACTGTGATGATGGCTGGGCTGGAGACACCTGCTCAGGTAAGTCACAGAAATTGCATAATGCCTATGATGAAAATTTGAAAACGATAGTTTAATTTCAATTGAAATAAACTCTTGTACCGTTACGATAACATAGCAAAGTCTTCTTTCACATTTTAACCGAAATTGGTTTGTCAAATATCTACAGTACAATAGACTTTGTTTACACTTTAACTAAGAAATACACAAAAACTTTAAAAACTAATAATTTTCAAAACTAGGAATAAATCATATATGCGAGTTATAGAGATGAATGGATTAAGCATGCTAACACGCAGCATTAAGTATAAACCCAGTATCTAATATCAGGCAATTTACTTATATATTTTCTCATTTATACTGGGATCATGTTCAATAATAAGTTCTCCCACTGGCCTTAGGCCATATTTTATAAACTACTGTCAGTCTCATAAAGCGAGGATTAGAAATTGGTACTGTTTCAGTCATAAAAAGTTCAAGACTTCGAAGATTGGAAGGCAAGCATTTCGAGAAAAGTCTAAAATACAATGAGTGTTATTTTACATCTTACTTATGTAAGGTTTTGATCAAAATTATGCGAATGTGGTCATTTCACTAGGTCAGTGTGAAAACATACATCAATGGTGTTGGAACGGATGGTATCCAAATTGGTGCGACGAGGACCATCCGTACGTGCCTGAAAACTGTCCTGCAATGTGTGGCCTGTGCAGTAAGTTTCTTTGCTTGTATCACTTTGCTCAGGCTTAGTACACTTTCTCAATGCAAGATCTCATAAACGTGGTTGTATTCCGTATAGGCCTATTTAATCCCCAGTACTGTTCTTTTTTTTTATCAGATGTGCCAGACAAGAACTACGATACGCCAGGTAAGAAGGAACATTAATTTTTATAACATAATGAAATTAATATTTGAATCTGCGTTATCATAGCCTAAAAACGACGATTAATTGGTATAATGTGTATAGTTTATATTTGTAAGATGTGGTATAAATAGCTTGTACTGCATTTTTTTGCTCCATAGACCTATGAACACTTGCTATATCATAATCACCATCACATAATTTTTCTAGCTAAGGTAACTGAATAAAATCCAGATTTGCGTTCTTAAAACATCACTATAGATAATTCCCCTTCCTGCCTAAACTTACCGTACCGTAGCGTTCATTTCTCAAGTCCTGGAATCGTCAAGTGGTTATTTGGTGAACAATGCATGTATTAACGACTATTGACATTCTGTTAATATTATAAATTTTATCATGTTATAGTCGACAACATGTACAACAAATACTGTCTTCTATGTCAGTTCGTCTTTGTCCGTTTAACTTACGGTAATTTTTTTGTGTTTACACCACCACGAGAGGTGTGTCAAAAACCTCAACAAACACATTTATTTGTGTGTACTTAAATTGGATCTGATGTGGACTTTAATTGAATTCGCTTGATCTAGATTTATTTGATCCATGTCGCACCTAAAACAACCTCTCTAAAGATTGTTGAACTTAATTCGCTGTCACGACAAGTAAACGTAACTCCGCGTACTTCTTAAGTGGTATTTAATTTACTCAACATCTAGTTCAACTTGTGTAATGCTAATAACAACAAATCGTTGCTTTACAATAATATTGCACTTAAGCAAAGCAATTAATCTATGTTACAACCACACACTCGTTAGCAGGAAGGTTTTACATCAAGGAAAACAATAACTAATACGATAAGTCAATCATTTTAGGATTTTTGAACCGATATACATCTGTCACAGCGTATATGCGTTTTACGAGAATCATTGATCAGATTCGTAACTGGAAATGGATATGATTTTGATCATAACTTACTGTAAGCTTGTGTCAGGATCACAACGCGGCGACAGGAAATATGGTTGTGACCGTGACATTTGTTACGAACATTTTAACATCGACAATATAATGTAAATAATTACTGTAAATTTAACCTGCCGTAATAAAATTGGAATCCGAATGTACTGCCTAATGCCAATTCATGGTGTGGGCCCTAGGCAAGTCGTCTGCAGCGTGCTCGTAGAAAAAATCGTGTAGGGCCTATGGCAGGATTGACTGAAATGAGAAAGCAATGTGTTGTATTTGTTATCATTATCGTAAGGTTGCAATAACCTGTGACTGCCAGTAATTGTAATTAAGTATTCAATAGAACATTCTGTTCTAAGTTTTAATCAAATTTAATGACTGTCAGGTCGGTACGTGTCGTGAATAACCAAATGCACGCGCATGTCCACACATACGCTGTCGTTTTGTAGGACAGTAGCAGTAGGCCTAATATTCAGTGGACTTGGCTTACCAGAATAGTAGAATGGTTAAATTGGAGATAATCATACACAATTTAGAACTTAGTGGAAATATGTATAATACACTTTCACATTCTAGAGGCCAAACAAACGCTATTACAAACGTTATGGTAACATTACGTTGAAGAATGTATGACCTCGTTATACGTTACAAAAATAAAGTTACATTGAATCTAGTATGTGAAGTTTGTAAGTTACGGTTATGTTGTTGTGAAATTATTTTTTCTCATACAAATTGACCATTTTTGGTACCTGTAATCAATTTATTTTGAATCTCAAATTGTTCGTGTGATGATGAAAGCAAATAAAATCACATATAATGTCGATTCTCTTGCCTTAACCTTAACATTATTTATTTGTTTTTTAGATTCACCATGTGAAGATAAATTCTACCATTGCAAATGGTCTAAATCAACGTGCGATTCTAACAGAGACTTTGCTGTCAACTACTGTCCTCTGTCGTGTGGATTTTGCTCACTATAATCGTTAAAATTAATTCGCTCGCTGAAATAGTTTACAACTCGCTTGACACCAAAGGCAAAGCATCTTACGAAGAGCTTGATGTTGTAGTAATGTGTATGTGTTATACTGTATACTGTGGATTTCGTTGTAGATTTTAGACTTGAAACAACCAGTCCATAACAAGTGTTCTCAGCCAAATAGCAATCAGTTCCATGTGCACTACAGTCTTGAATATAATTGTTTCTGTAATTTGAGGAAGAGAAGTATTTCTCGTTTATTCTACCTTACCTTGATTTATAGTCATTAGAAAACATACCGTATACTAAGTCGAATATCACCGTCGGAAACTGTAGAAAGTTGTAAGAAAGTAGGGAAATAAGAGACTAATCCTGCTATTATTCCACTAAATTGTTGCTAGAGCAAAAAACCTACAAAGATGTGTTAATATTTATATGTTGTAGGCATGAAGATAATTTTCGATATGCTCATGTAATATAATTGGGATGATCTTGAACGCTTGACTTGTCTTGGGTATTCACTATTCTTACCTGCTTTAAAACGGTCTTTTTACATAATTCATTAGATCTACGCATACCCAGACCTTTAGATACTCAAGTTGTACCCTGTTAAAACGGCTAACAAAGAAACACCTAATATTAAAATTAGTTTGAGAACGTATTTTTAAAAAAATATTCATTGAGATTCAAACCCATGAGCCTTCGCTTACCAATTGCCCTTTCCGCTAAGCCCCGCCCCTTGGATATTGTTGCTAAGGTCCCACAAGACGACAGTGTTAAAACATACGAGAACACGTGTGTTTGTGAGAGGCGCGCGTATTCCTAGCGCTTTTTTAATTGGTCAGTTGTTAAGTTTGATTGACACTCCGGAAAGGTCTACTGGTAAATTTGTTTGCATGGAGAAAGCGTTAACGTTATGGAAGTATGAAGATATAGTTTTCCCATCTTTTGATTTGAAGTGGCCAGTCACGTGCGTAGGCGCATCCGCTTTTCACTAGGATGCACTGAATCATGTGAGATGACGTTTAAAGGTTTTTAGCGAAATAGTGTCCGAACGTCTTGTCAACATCATGTCACATGCCTGTAACTGTTAACGCAATGTTGGTTGCCTTTCAGTAGCTAATTAGAAGGTGTATATAAATACTATTTATTAAAATGTGCAGGGTTTTTAGAAAAAGGAATAAGCCTATTATTATGGAGACGTATAATGTTGTAAATTATGGACCATAGTCCTAATGAAGTTAGCATACATTTATTTGGAAGGTACGCCCCGTAATTCATCGCACTGAGATTATATGCTATGCTTATTAATATAACGTATACATAAGAATCATCTGCAGACACTTAAAGTAAAATGTTACTCATGCTTTTTACGGAAAATTCATGCAAATTTAATATTTACTGTCCGAAAAGTTGTGAATTTGGATTAACATGTATGTTTGCCTTGATACCGTATGATAGTCATGAATTTCGGATGCAATGAATAGAGCAATTTCCACCACTTCAAAATCTGCGTGCCAGTATATTAAACCTAAATGTTTACTTAAAAACGTTTTCAAATTCATATTTTCCCGGTGTATATACTTATAATAGAGAGCTTTTGTTATCTCGTTCAAAAACCAATCCACCGAGAAAAGTGCACATTTTTGTGTATGACTTCACCAGTTTAGGCCTAGTTTTTGTTTTCTCGCACTCGAATGATGAATCGCGAGAACCAGAAACTAGATGTATTTGAAACATTTCAATGGAATTTGCTGATGCCACGAGAGTTCGGTTCTCGGGAAATGCGAAATAGCGAAAGCTAACTATTTTTTGAACAAGAACGATAACGGTAGGCCTAACTGGAATTTTTTTCGGCGGATTGTTTCCGAACGAGATAACGAAAGCTCTTTAATAACAATATTTCAGCCTTATAATAACCCACAATGCCAAGGCTTTCATGCGCTTATTACATCTCAATGAACGTCCATTTCGAGTTCTTGTTAATTTTTATGGATACGACGGCTGTTTGGATAGATGTAATTTTTGTATATATTATACGTATGGTTTACATATTATTGAAATATATATTTATTTATTTTATGATTTAAAGTAATGTTTTGAAGATTAACTTCGTCAATAAACATTTGAAACTGATTTTAGACAATGTTTGTATTTTTGTTTGATGGGTACGAACATTTGTGTGAGTTTGCTAGGGGGGTGCAGAGGGTGTGATCGCACCCCCTCAATTGTATTAAGAAAAGTATTTGTTGTATTATATTGTTGATATGAATTATTGGTAAGATTTTAAAGGTACATGAGAGTACAATTTCCGGGCATCTAGAGGTCCATATTCTCAAAATGTTTGGTGGTGGATTCTCACGCACCCATGGGCGCAGATCATGCGGGAAGGGGTAAACGTCCATGAGCGGCGCCATGATTTTCCCGACGGGGGGTCCGAGGTCCCCGACCGGGGGAGGGGGCAATGTCCCCGACGAGGGGGAAAATATCTTCGACGAGAACAAAGTGGACGTGGTCGAACGTCGCTTTAAATACCTTTAAAGTGGTCAGGGGGCGAGGCCCCCGAAATTTTGACAATTTAGGGGTTTCAAAGGCTTATTTAATCGATTATAAAGTCTACTAATATGTACAAAATACTTATAATTGTTTTTTTTCTCCCCGACGAATTGTGGTTTCTCTCCCCGACGGGGGGAGGGGACACCTCTCCCCGACGAGGTGCCTGGAGTACATCTTATTATATAGCAAGATGCCTGTATCTCTGCCCACAAACATCTGATTACCTATAATATTCGACTCGATTGCGTGCCTTTATTATAATTTGAGAAGTATGAGAAAATGCGTGCAAAGGTAAGATTGGGTTTCGGCACATGAAGTAATATTTTTTATGGTACATCACAGCGATTAATTAGATCGATGATGATGAATTTTACTATATAAGAGTGTCATATCCGGCAATCCCTGATTAAAGATCATGAGAAATCTGCTGGCGCTTCATAGACTAATAATGATGGTGTGATAATGGTGAATTTTACTGTATAAAAGTGTCATTTCCGGCCATCTAAAGATATACTATTTTTTCAAATTTTCCCACCTCGGCCCTAACCATGGTGGGGATGAAGTGGTTGTGGACTCCTGGCTTTGAAGTAGGTAAAGTAAATACATCAAAGAGAATGTTTTTAAGTTTTATGTGTACATTACACATACTAAGTAGATCTCTGTGGTTGCCGAAAAAAACTTTTGACTACCGGTATATAATGGTGATGTGATTTTACTATATAAAAGTGTCCTTTTCGGCCATCTACAGGTACTATTTCCTTAAATTTTTGTACGCACCCCCTTCCGCCAAATCCTGCATCCGCCCCAGTTTTGAAAGCTGTTTAAAGCACAGGTTAAGATGGTGATAATAACTTTGGTGATGGTGATAATGACAATGGGACGAAGTCATGATGAATACTAGACCCGGTATCCCAGCAAACACTAAAAGTTATGGTAACATTTGCAAATGTTGTGATTATGTTATATCAAAAAATAACGTAAAGTTTAGTCAGAAATTGCGTTATAAAAATGAAGGGTTATTTATTATTCTAGAAAATAACGTTTCGAACACCAAACTACAGTGTAATGTAGTTGTAATGCGCCTTTTCCGTAGGAAAACAAAGCCCCTGGAAACAGGGATAAACAAAAACGATCTAATATGATGGTTGTTTTAGCATCAACCAAAAACCGTTGTGCACAATGATTGAATCAATGATACTTCGGAAAGGGGGTCCGTCAACTGCGGCAGCGTTATTTTCGAATGGATATACGCAAATAGCTTCCACGACAATTTCGATGTAACAACAGCTTCTGCCTCAGTCTAGTGCGTCTGCTGCATGCGCAGAAAAATCTATTTGCACGCTTTTATTTTCTCATACTTCTCAAATTATAATAAAGTCTTGCATATTTGTGGGAAGAGATACCAAGACAGGGAGCGATAACACCTTATCTAACTATTTAGTGTTATCAAAACGTTATAATAACGTAAAAAGTAGCTGGGATATGCAATTATGATGGTACAAATTAGAAAATTATATCATCAGTTTCAGAATGATAGGATAGCGCATTTTGGTTAGCACGCATGCACACATCTTAGACCTATAAGAAGTGCTGTGACGTCTTTTTAACCACTTGCGCGAGATTTCTTTCGAACAATATCATTGGGTGAGGCTGAGGAGCTTTTTTTTTTGTTTGTTTGTTTGTATTTGGGGGGAGGGGTAGGTACCTTCTTCTTCTTCTTTATTGTATAAATTTTATTTCCATTTCCGCGCTCCCCCTAAATACGCCACACGCTACTGAATAGAGCACAGGTTGCCTAAACTGTTGCGTGACCTTCTACCTCTCTAGTATTTTAGAGTTGAACAAACAAAAAAATTGCTTCAGTTCAGTGAATTTCTATTAATATATTATTGCATTCCTTAAATAGACAATACCGTGTACTTGTTCATTGTATGCATATCCAAAGTAGTAAGCTTATACTCGCAATAAATACTGATACAATTATTCCGTCACTCCAAAATTGAAGAGGAACTGATAAAGAGAGAAATGCTACTCTAATTCAAGACATATGATGGTATGCATAGATTTTTGTAAGTACAGCTGTACCGTTTAATCTAAAGCTGCTAATTTAGATGTTGACTATTTTTCAAATTATTTGAACAAACCAAGAGAAACATTTTAGTAGGCATGTGTTATTATACACTTGTTTAGGTAGGGCTTAATCCAGCTTTATATTTTCCTTTAATACAGATTTTACCAGTGGAAAAGAAAACTGGTTAGTGAGTACTTGAGCTGAATGTTGTAACATTGCTTGTGTTAAACCTGAACAACAGTGCTGTGCTTAAGATGAGTTTTTGAAGGCAATGCCAAATACATAAATATAATTTTAATTACAATTTGATAAATGCGGAGATGAAGCTGTTATATTACCTTTTTCTTTTGGTGCTGGTTTCATCTGTAACATCGCAATCAGGTAAATAAATGACACTGATTTTTCTTCTTTAAGATTCACATTTAGAAATTTAGTTTTTATTTTTTTATTCATTTCGTAAAAAGAATAAAACCTCAAATATATAACTAAAATGAAAAGCAAATACAATATAAATTACTGAATGAACATCATCAGAATTCAGTCCTTGATGCTGTTAAGCAAAACCGCCAAATATCTACTGCTATACAAAAACCATCTTTGTTGAAACAATGGATAAATTAATAATAATAATAATAATAATAATAATAATAATAATAATAATAATATCATTATTACTCAGTCAGTAAAATAAAATTACAGTACTAACAACAAAAATAATTCAAAATCAACGAAAATTACATAAAAGATAAAATACAGCAAAAATATGGTAAAATTAATTATATGATTCAGAGGGAGACCCTCCGATGGCTCAATCGACATCGCTTTTACAGTATATACCGTACTCTATGTGTCCTTTTCCATGCTGCACCATCTTGTGCACAGTAACTTCCAATCACACACAAACCGCAACAATATCTTTTTGTCAAATGATCAAGTCACTAAGCGTACCATTTCTAAATCACATAATTTTACATAAAATACACTAAGAATATCACACACACAAAAAAAACAGCCCAAAATCAGCATTCCGTGCAATCTACATGCGTAAGCTGTCCGCGACAGCGTTCTGTTTACATACATTTTAACTTTGATTAGGTTGTATTTATTCGGTTTGAACACCAAGGAACTCACGAATGTCAGAAGATCTAATCCCAGTAGGGTACTTCTGGCGGTGATTGGGCAGTACACCGGGAAATTGTACATGAACCTTATTGCACACGGGACCAACGACATTAACGTCTCATCCAAAAGACAGTGCGCTTCTATACTCACATTTCAGCCGCAGATGTTTTTCCTGTGGATAGTGGTTATTGCCGCTCATTTATAAGCCCTGAGTTGAGATATTATTACGACCGCTGGTCAGTAAGAATATGCATTTCATTTCCTTGTTATTGTAATGGAAATGGAACACCTTTGAAATATTTGAGACAGCATACCAAGGTAAATGAAGTTGTTCTCGAACTCCATTACTATTTTACAACACAAAACACAAGTTCTCGTAATCTCAAAAGCTCCGATGAGGGCAGAATAATAGAGGCAGTAGAGTATATTTGGCCCTAACGGCCGCCCATACAACACAAATTTATTAATTTATTATTATTATTATTATTATTATTATTATTATTATTATTATTATGTTACTAAAACCTACCTTATTATTATTATTTATACAGGCAACTCACTCACAGACTACTATCTAAAATGTTTTGGGAGTAGATTTAGTTATTAACCAGGAGTAATTATATTTCTCTCTTCCACACAGGTGTTTGTTCCTTACCTGTGGATCGTAGCTACTGCGGCTCAGTAAGCCCTGAGTTGAGATATTATTACGACCGCTTGTATGCAAAATGTATTCCATTTCCTTATTATTGTGATGGAAATGAAAACAACTTTGAAACAATCTCTGACTGCCAGGCATCATGCTTAGGTAAATGTAATTGTTCTGTAACTCCCATAATTGTTTTTTTTTTTAAAGCGTTCCCAATTAATCATAAATCTCAGGCCAGGTCTCCTTGCATGGTATAAAAAAATCTTGTTTGATGAAAATCTGAAATAACCCTTTAATCAAATTAAACGCTCATGCAAAATAATCAAAATAAGTTATCATCTTGCATAGAGACCCACGTTTTCTCTGAATTAAATCTTTTTTTAAAAAAAACTAGAATATTCTTTGAATAATGTGAAAGTTAATTTAAGGGATAACATTAATATTATTTACGGTATCTTTTGCCATTTTGAGCTTGTTGACCAGGCTTGAGCTGCAGAATTTTGATTGGACTAAAAATAATGAATTTAGCTTTTGGTATGTGGTTTCCTTTATTTACACTTGTTCATGTATCATACCTATTGACTAATATTATAATTGATATTAATATGAAATCATGAATAAAGAAGTTGAATATATTTACAAAGCATGTAAACAGATCATTTCGATAGGATCATCACCAATATTGAACGTTACGACTGATGACAATTATACAAATGTCTGGATGAAAATAATTTTGATTTTAGGGAATACATCGAAAGCCTGTGACAGTTCTCCTTGTCTGAGTGAAGAATTTTGTTTTGATAATGCAGCTGGTGGATTCTGTTGTGGTAAATATAATAAACCTTTTTCACAATGTACTAAATTAAACCCTTGTTCAGACTATCATTTTACAAAAACGTGTAACATGCCTAAATATGGTCAAGATGACGTCACATAATATGGGCATAATAATGCATAATAAAGAAATATTTATAATCTCAACAGAGTTTAGCAAAGTTTGTGACAAATACCTGTGTTTTCGCCATGTATGGGAATACCATCGCCATGCCCATATTTGGTCAATTATCACAAATGTACTGCACAAAACTCGATCGTGTGGTTGTGTAGTTTAAAGCTGAATTGATTTTTTTTCCACATAAAACTCCCATTCCTCCAGCTATCTATAGAGGTTTGATTGATGTATGGTAGGCTCTCCACTCCACTTCTGTTACAGAACATGAAGATTTCCAAAGGATTAGCTCAGTAGTTGATCACACTCCTGAGATATTCTTACAATTTTAAAATTGAAATGCTTCTCTATTATTTTGTAGCTCCTGGAAGAAAACGAAGAGCTGTAAAAGGTTATTAATGTTGCATTATACTTTGTAACTGCATCTTTAATAATTTGGTACTAGATCTCAAGAACCTACTCGAGTGGTATGGCAATCAGTATGGTATGAGAAGCACAGATCGTCACAGCAAAGTCAAAATCCACAAGGCACATTTTAGTCATCGTTGGTGTAGCTTTTGTTGTTGGTATATCAGTATATAAATAATGTAATACAGGCTATTTACAAGTCAACAAGGGGAAATGCTTAATAAGGTGAAATGCACATAATAAATGATCATTAATTTGGAAATGTTTTAGATATACGCTATATAAATATGCAATAATAATAATAATAATAATATTTAGCATCAACATTTACCAATGACTTTGTGTTTTGAGTAGGAGAAATAATTCATTTGACCTCCTATGTTTTATATAAAACGGGTACTGGTATAGGCCTACTGGAAAGTAAACTTGCCACAAGTCTCTAATTTATTGATTTTTCGTAGTATTAGCACATTTCGGAAAGCACCACCAGCGTCAGTTCATGTCGAGAAACTTTTTGATGCGAATTCAAATCTCACAAAAAGTATACTATGGAACGCCATGCAAATAAGTAATATGGAACGCCATTGGTGCCAAAATCGATTTATTCTTAAGCATTTTAACTGATTCAGACAACGTTTAGGGACTGGAACCCAGTCTAACTGGGAAGGCAAACAGACTCGTTGCACAGTCTGACCTAAACGCCGTTATCTTTATATTCATTTTATTCATTAATATTAAATGTATTTCATATATAGATCAATGTATTATCAATTGGTGTTATAATGGTGCCAGATGCTTTCAAGTGGATTCATGTCAACATTATGTGTGTGCATGTGCGATAGGCTACACTGGCGATGCATGTGCCCGGGGTAGGTATATTCTAACTCCTATAGTAATACAATAGTCAACATTGTTTCGTATTTTATAATATGATAATAATATGTCGTTCTTATATAGCGCTTAATGCCTTAACAAAGCCTCTAAGCGCATCACATCAAAATATCTTTGTAAAGGATTAAAACATTGATTTTTGTTCCATATACAGATCCGCTGCAAATTATAGTCTGCATAATCGAAGCATGGTGAACAAAAAATAATGAGTCGCTTTCTAGTCTTGACACTAATTCTCCATCTGAGTTGATTAAATATGTTTCGACAGTCATATTCCTATAATTCGGTTTAGCGCAGCGGTTGTGGTTCTGCATCTCAACCTTAAGGTCGGGGGTTCAATCCCTCGCATTTCGCTTGTGATATTGACAAGACACTTTATCTAGGGTTGTCTCTCATCACCCAGGAGTACAAGTGGGTAGGTTCAAACACAAAATGCGCTGATTGGAGTTGCAACATAATGGAATTCTCCCCCATGGATCCATGGAGCTAAGTATGCTTACAGATCTTGTTGGCATGAAATGCTATATAAGTCATATTATTATCATGTATGTTAATGGTTTTAAATCAAATTCCCATAAGTATAAAATTCTGATCTACCTGAACAGGACTATCTATAATTCTACCACTTGCTCCTGTTCATAAAAATTAGACTTTAACGAAGACGTGAATGCTATGATGTCACACGGTTAAAAAATACTATTATTTTTCTTACTAATTATTATAAACCTGTAAGTTTTTGTTTATCTTTGAATGCTTCTTTTTACAACCTCACAGTCAAAATGCTAATATCTGTGATAAATCTAAACACCTTTAAAGTATTAAAACATAGAATTGCTGACTCACTTTACGATAGAAATATTTAGACTGTCTGGATTTATTTTTGTTATGTATCTATTTATATCTGTGAAAAATTAAGTAAACAATTTAAATAATTGATTATATTTAAATTGTATCAGCGCAACACAGGCATGTTTTAAATATAAATCTTACTTTTGTTAATGGATTGTCCTAGAGTCAACATTTTAAAAGTTAATCTGGATGTTTTTATGATGCTTCTGGAATAATATAAGCATTATTGCATATTAGTTTTTGTTTCTAATATTTGCTTTTAGTGCAACGTGCTTGTGATAGCCACCTTTGCCAGAATGGTGGTACGTGTGATGCTGATTCCTATAATTCTTACACCTGTATCTGTCCACCGTGCTACACTGGTTATTTCTGTGAAACATGTAAGGAATTTTGTTCATGTACTGCGCACGCACCTACATTGGCTTGTGTACAACTTACTTTTTCATCTGCTTTAGGTACTTTAATAGAATTTAATGTCTGTAAGCTGGAGAGAAATTTGTTTGCAAGTTTGATCGTAAGGAAGTAATTGTCCAATAAATAGGCCTACTATTTGTTTTACTTTTACTGTAACTTACCCATTTGGGTATTTTTACCTACAAAGCCTTAACTGTAGTCCAATTATACAACCGATTATACAACCGTTATATAAAATGAGCCTGGTCATTATAGTTTATTATTTCTCATATTTCAGGGGGGATTTGGGGGGGGGGGGGCAGCCCCGCCCCCCCCCTTTTTTTTTGGAGTTAAAAAAAAAAAGAAAAAATAATAAAGAAAAGGAAAAAATGATAGCCCAGAACGCCTAAAATGTTATTTTCGGGCGTCTAGAACACAACAATTTTGACCCCCTAGGATGGTGTTGTCTCTTTACCTGCAAGAACTATAGTCCAGCAAAAACGTTTTGTAAAATGACCCTGCATGTAACATTAGTCGGGTTATTGTTGTTATCTCTCACTAAGTCTTTCATTCACATAGCAACCAGTGTATGTTTCAACCACCACTGTCAGAATGGAGGTGTTTGTATTCCGGATAGTGGCTCATGTACAACTTACTCTTGCTCCTGTCCTGGCTGCTTTACAGGAACCTATTGTCAAGAACGTAAGATCTGCGTTGTTTTTAAACATAATTTTAATCTTAGCAATAAAATACAATGTCCAATATACAAATTTACTTATTAGTTATTGTAGGCCTATGTTGCAGAGATCTCTTAACACCTTTTCCTTTTGCATAGAAATCGATGCTTGTTCCAACCACCTATGTCAGAATGAAGCTGTTTGCAGCACTGTGGACAGTGGTACATGTACAACTTACTCTTGCATCTGCTCTGGGTGCTTTACTGGAACGTATTGTGATACAGGTAAACACTAGAAAGACGATGTCCACGATAGGGGAGTGGTCGGCCGGGCATCGCTCGTAAATCTCTCGGAAGTAATCCTGGGGCCAAAACCCTCGGAAACTATTACATTTATGGGTTTAAAATGCTTATTTAATTGACTTTAATCTACTAATATGTAAAAATTATTTGTTTTTCTCCCCAAAGAATTGTTTCTTTTTTCTCCCCGACGGAGGACAACTCTCCTCGACGGGGGATAGCTCTCCCGGCAGGGAGGGGTCTCGCCAACCCGGTGCCGCTGCACCACTCCTGATTAGTTTTGTTTCTAAGTAAGTATTTATCCGAAATCTAATACATTATTAATGATAATAAATGATAGAGATATAAAGTGAAAAAGATAAGTACTGTATACATTTTACATGCTACTTTTTAATCTTTTGTATAGCAATCAACCGTTGTTCCAACCACCGCTGTCAAAATGGAGGTCTTTGTTTTCTTGACAGTTCATGTACAACTTTTTATTGTTCCTGCTCTGCATGCTTTACTGGAACTTACTGTGAAAGAGGTAAATGTTCAATTTGATAGACGTCGGTAATATGGTTCATCTGATACTATGCCCAAAATACTGTTACGCTAATTATAACAGTGTTATACTTTTTCCTAATGCAGTACAGTACCTCTGTTGTTGTACATGGCCTATAACTAATTATTTTAATGGCGAGTCGAGTGAACAAGTGGCAAGGCGCCGCTAACTACAGCCTTAACATCGTCGCTGATTTGAGCCAATCCTCTCCCAGGTTTTGGTTGGTAGAACGAGGGTCCCCGACGAGGGGGCCGATTCCCCCACGAGAGATCAGTTTTCCCAGACCAAAGACAAAGCAGGCGTGGTCGAGCTTCAATTAAAAGGGTTGGAAAGCGGTCCTAGGGGGCGAAGCCCCCGAAAATTTTGACAATTTAAGGGCTTCAAAGGCTTATTTAATCGATTTTATAGTCTACTAATATGTAGAAAATACATATAATTTTTTTTTCTCCCCGATCAATTGTACTTTTTCTCCCCGACGGGGGTGGGGGGTTCTGGCCCCCTGGCCCCCGCTGGCGACACCCCTGACCCCTGACCCGTTTTGCCACTAAATTTTTAATTTTAAGGCATATATTGAACTTAGTGCTCTCACCTAAATTACGTTGCGCACTATTATACTCCTAACATTACCATTACCTTCTGTGGCCCTTTGTGCAGTATGAAACTGTTCGATTCGAAAAACAAAATTATCTAAATTTCCTAGTCACTATTTCAATAAAACAATAGAGGTGTATTAATATTTTTAGCTGAGAATGGTTGCTATGTCAATCTGTGTCTAAATGGAGGTGTTTGTAATACTGTTTATGGTTCCTGCTCAGCCTTCACCTGTGTCTGCCCCACAGGCTACTCAGGACAATTATGTGGAACAGGTAACATACTCAGATTAAAATAATTATCACAGTTACATAGAGCATGCTGGTGAAATAAGTGTAATGTTTTCTGTTTTGAAGTATACCCATGTTAGTTATTTTAATTGAACATGTAAATCCATACAGAAAATATAAAATTTCTGAATTTCTGTTTAAATTACTAATGTTTTATATATTTCTTTTAAAAAATGCTAATAATTTTCACAAAATTATGCTTCAAAAGGAGGTTTATCTTTACACTTGTATTTATTATTGACCTTGAAAATATCCATAGCAAGGACCTAATTAACAACAATAGTATTTTTAAATTATTGCTCTCTATTTTAAGCTAGTAATGTAGCTTTGTATTAATTATTAGCTTTCAATTCGTTACATAGAAGAGTAAATTGGCTCGATAAAACTATTAAACTATAAACACTGATAATAAAAAGTAATATTGGCATCATTTGTTTAAATGTTAATTTAGTTCTTTTGACAAAAATTCTCTCTTGTTTTGTAGCGTCGTGTGAAGTTTTTGGTGATTATGAACCTTGCAACAGTAGAGGGCAGTGTTCATATATTGATAGTAAGGCCACTTGCACTTGTCAAGCTGGATTCTTTGGTTCTCGCTGTGAAAGTAGATCCACAAGTAGGTAAACACCGAGATAAAACTTATACAAAAACATTTTTTTTTAAATTCGGTAGAAATGCCATCACATTGTTTAAAATCAGTGTCTTACCAGCTAGATATGTTGGCAAGTAACTAGAGGCATAATCAGGAAAGGTCCAGTCGGCCCAACATTTTAATATTTTTTAATTAGATATGGAAAATATAACAGATTGTATTCAAAATTAAAGTCTGAGAGTACATGTTCTGGCCATCTAGACGCATCATAGCCATACAATATTTATACATCAGCCTCGCCCATTTGGGTCGGGACTCTCCATCTGTAAAAGTACCTCCCTGAGCCCCGTCATTGTATTCACAGGTAACTTTTAAAGTCTCTCTACTCTTCCTACCAATGTAGCTGCACCCACCACTCCGCAATAAGAACCCATCTCAATGCTAATAGGCCTATATCTTTTATTTTTACACCATTCCGGCCATTACTACCGAAAAACGCAGTGACAATTGAACCACTGACTACTCTGCCACCAGCAAACAGGAAGCCTTCAACTAACTGCGGTGCCCGTGTAATACTTTTTCTAAAATCAGATCTTCAAGACGTGAGACTTCCCTATGTTTTCTTTAAATGCCGAAAATGCATTGTCTCATTTTAAGGGAGTCATGTTGTAAATCTGCATTATTTTTATTGAGAATAAATACATTTATAAGCCAGACACAACAGGAATGGCGCCAGCGGGGTGGGGAAAGATTACCTCGTTGGTGGCGTTAAACACAATTGGTCAGGGAGAAAAAAAATATGTATTTAATAATCCTTGAAACCACAAAATTGACCAAGTTCAGGTTCAATATATTGTCATATACAAAGTAAATGAAATTTGTTTTCCAAGATTCACAATAAAAACAATGACATACTAAAATACAATACAAAGATACGATATAAAATAAGTTAACCTATGCGTAAAATTATATAAAACATTATAAATATAAAAAACAATGACATACTAAAATACAATACATAGATACGATATAAAAGTTAACCTATGCGTAAAGTGATATAAAACATTATAAATATAAAAACCGATAAACATTGCAAACAATTGCACTTGACTACACGATTTTGAGCGATTACAGCCACTTACGCTCTCGTAGGGGACATCGGTCCCCATCGGGAAAATCCTGGCGCCACCCCGAGGCAAATGGCAGCGAGTAAATTATTTGATCTTATCCGAAATGTGTTCGGAAAAGCAGTAAGATATTGATAGTTGGTTTTTTTAAAATCTTTTGTGGGGTCGTACTACTTTTATTCACAATTCGTATTTGGCATAAATAAAACTGCACATCAGTTTCTCATAGTAGGTAAACATATACAGTATTATACTTTGTAGAAAACAAATATGATAAATTTTTAATATACAATGTGAATACAGCATTTAACGTATAAAATATCTCAAAACTCGGAGGCTCCGATGAGGAGCGATTCTCACGGTAGATGAAAAAGGTCTCAATCAATCAATAAATCATTCAATCGATCGATTGATCATTCAAACAAGCTTTTCTAATTCAATCGGGGGGACATGAAATGAAGTTGTTCAGATTCACTCTAGAGACGGAATTTTGGTGCATATTTAGCAAGAAAGCTGAAATGAAGCCTGCACATTTATCTTATTTTACAATTGTACATATGCGTGAGGTTTTGGTCCTTGAACGAGAGAGCTCTAGAGAGGCCTCGAATGTGTTTCATGCCAAAGAATTGTAAGGTATGTTTATAGTACATCTACCCACTAAAAAAAAAACAGCAGTGCTGATTTAAAAAAAACATTGCACTATACTCTGCCAGATATCGTTCAACAGTCCTAGTCTTATTTGCAACAAGCCACAAACCGGCAATGCAGTGACGGTGTTAGTAACATTTTTCCTACTACTTCCCACAACCAAAACTCATTTGATGACGGTGCTAGTAGTCAAATACCGATCTACCCCTCCACTACCAACTTAAGTACCTTTCAACAGCTGCGCAACTCTTATACCCTGCCACTACCAACTAGGGCTCTTCAACTTCAGGTGATTGTAGGATTTTTTTTAATACAGTTTACTCTTCAGTCATGCATATTAAGACAGTTAAAGGAATATTTAATGACATGTTTTGAAATGTTGTTAATTACTATATTACTAACAATATTCAAAACGTTGTTTCTAGGTTCCTGCACATTTCCAATGGAGCCCGGTGATTGTTCAGGGGCAGTATCACAAAGGCGATATTATTATGACATTTTAAGTTCAGCTTGCACTCCATTTGCATATTTTTGTGATGGGAATGCCAACAACTTTGAATCTTTACAGAAATGTCAAGCACACTGTGAAGGTAAAACTGGCTTATATTGTGCTATATTCTGTTTATTGTGCTAGAATTACAATTTAGATACAACCAATCAACAGCAAATAAGGAAGATTGCATTGGGGCGTGCGCTGTCCATTATTTTTAAGACGTGTTCCACTTGGGAACATTTGGAATTGTTGGTTTATCCAGAAAATATCTCAAACCAAGACTAATAAACAACATACAGCATACCTACAGCAGAAGTTGTCAGATACTTTTTAATGCGATACAATCTAGTGTCCCTTGACATAATTGCAATTTTTACTGGTAGTTGGGGCGTGCGCTGTCCATTATTTTTAAGACGTGTTCCACTTGGGAACATTTGGAATTGTTGGTTTATCCAGAAAATATCTCAAACCAAGACTAATAAACAACATACAGCATACCTACAGCAGAAGTTGTCAGATACTTTTTAAAGAGCATATGCGATACAATCTAGTGTCCCTTGACATAATTGCAATTTTTACTGGTAGTAAGAACTTAGTCTATTGTTGTACAACTAGGATGAGAAATTGTGTGAAATTGATTATGGCTGGTTGAGTCTTCTGTTTCAAATGTCTGGTGAATTCTAAATAGGTTGCTCAGTGCAGATGCCTAATCATTTTGTGTGTGCATATTTTTACAGAACCATTCAAAGTTTGTGAATCCACTTGTGGGAATGGTGGTAGATGTATTCCTGATGCATCCTCTGTTAGTTGTTTCTGTCCAGAATGCCTCACAGGAACTAATTGTTCAAGAAGTAAGTTTACTTTTGCGTGTTGATTTTCCTTGTGCCTGCCTGGAGAGTTCTTTTTTAATTACTAAGCATCGTTTATCCTTGAATTAATCAAAACTTTCATATATAATTTTACTTATTTCTACCATAACTAAATCTTGTCATTACTGAATGGTTTATTTCTTGCATTTAATCCCGTTTAAGTCTTTCTTAATATCGCCTTTTGTTGTTATTTTAATGATGATTTTATATATTATTTGACTATTGAGCGTCATTGTTCGATCGTTGGGATTCATTGCATTAAGTTACGCGTGCTCAAAATTGTTCAGCATGCCAACTTCGCTCGGAGGGTCAGATTTAGTTAATAACGTTTAATATCTATACAAAGCACCTATTAAGAAATTGTTTCTCATTTTAATGTATATTTATTAATTGCATTGAGTTATTCATGCTTAGAATTATTCTGCATGCAAGCTTCGCTCGGGGGCTCAACTTACTGAGAATCTGTCTCTTATACACATCTAGATGTGTATAAGAGACATTCCTGTATGTCTATTTTAAACCACACTGTCCTGGAACAGTATGCACAAATTATAACTAAATTAAAGCTGGGCATGACCACTGCGCCGAACGCAATGGCAATTTTATAGAATACGAAAAGCAACGAGGATTTTGACTTCCGCGGGAAATCATTAACCGGCGTCATGCGCCAAAGAACGGAGATAGATTCGTCGGCTGACAGTCGTACGACTGTCGTTTGACGTAGTGTACCCAGCTTTAGTTCATAAAATCGTATTTTATTGTTGAAACAGTAACAAGTAACTTTCATTTAGTTCATTTTAATTATTTTCTTTTCATTTGAAATTTGTTTATTTTTATTATTTTATTTATAATTTTCGAATTAAAATGTAGTAAGCCTAGTTACTTAATTATCGTATTGTTGAAAATATACATTAGATATTGGCATATCTGCACTTAATCATATAGTGAATCTGTTGGGTGTGCAAGGAATAAAGAACTTAAAAATAAGAATGTTGTGTTACAAGAATACGCCTAGCATTTAATACAATTATTAGGCCTATACGTTCCGATGACATTTATTTTACACTTTAACTTTCAACTTGTGGGGGAGGGGGGTTTGTCATTAGTCTATTGCATTTAGTTTATCAAAATACTGAACATCCTACTTGATTTATAAGTCAGTTTTAAATTTAAAAAAAAAAATAATAACACAATATACTTTAACTTTCAATAGATTCTATTTACAAAGATTATATTACAATAATCACAATACCCAAACAAAAAATTAAAGTCTTCATCGACTTCTTCCACACAAAAAGAATGGAACCACAACTGTACAACATTTGAATAGCCCCAGACTCTCCCGTTTTGCATACCTAATGAGCGGTTGAACGATGTAAAACATCCCGGCTGTAACAACAGCAAGTTGCCTTACCAAAACCACCTAAATGGTGATGACTGCGTGCATAATTGAGCTCTATATAGTGTTAGAATAGAACCATTCAAAAAAATTAACATAACCTTATAATTTTTTGAAATATTTTTTGAAATATCTTCTTATAAGAATCACTAAAAGTTTTGTTAGAAATCCCGTACACAATTGGATTTAACATAGAGTTAGCGTACGCCAACATAGAACAGACGTAAAATGGGAGTCGGCATCGTCCACATTCACCTTGTGTTTCAATAACAATACTGTGAATTAATGAAGGAAGTATACAGATACTGAAAGCACCTAGTATTATCGAAGTTATCCTTGCGGCTTTAAAATCACTTCTATTATTCTGTACTGCTTGGCAGGTTGAGGATGATACCTGGCCAGCCGTTTTCTTCGCTTTACAGTATATACGCAGATGAAATGCGTACATTTGAGTTGAAACAAGTATCATGAATGTGTATTCCAAGACGTTTTGCACATCTTTACTGTAATATGGCGAGAGGATGACGATGAGCCCGAGTATAACTATGGTCCATGTAGCTATTAGGGTCAACATTACCGATCGATTATGCACTTTTATAATATACATATATGGATACATAATAGCGAAGTACCTATCTCCTGCTAATAAAAGATGGTGTAAAAGAGACAACGCGATAGTTGATACCATGACTTTGTGAAGAAGCCAACCAACAGTGTCTCCAAAGTAGAAAAAACGTCCATGAAGAGCAAAAAGAAGTCCAGCAACAAAGCCAAAAATCCCTGTTAAGACATCTACAAGTGCCATGCTAGCTAAAATAATGTAACACGGTTTTCGCAATGATCTGATACTGTAGACAGAAACAATTACGAATACGTTTCCTATACAGATACCAAGTGTCACAAAACCTGATGGAATTGACAAAGCTTTAGGAAATAAACAAATGGTTAAGTCTGTGTTGTTCACCATGTTGTCTACTTATTGCTTACTTAAATTCAATTTATAACATTTTTTCTCATAATAACGTATTACTTCTTTAGGTTCTTCATAGACTGGGCTCCAGTCCCTAATCTTTGTCTTTAAATTGATTTTGGCACCAATGGCGTTCCATATTACCTACTTACTTGGCGTTTCATAGTATACTTTTTCTTGGATTAGTTCTCTAATTCGCATAAAAGTTTCTCGATATATACCGTCGCTGGTGGCGCTCTCCAAAATTAGCTAATACAAGGAAAACCTATAATTAGAGACTTGTGGCAAGTCAGGTTCTTCAGAGCTTGTGGTACGTTTTCTTGATAATTGAATACCTCAATCTTCAAATGCCAAATGAAATACTAGTACCAATAGTGTATCAGTCCTTAGCATGCGTATTCAAACATCTTCAACGTCGTGATTTGCGTTATTTGTCTGCTCATAGAAACTGTGTGGTTCATGAGTTGTTGTTCCTTGTCACCTTGCACTCTGTCAAATGCTGTCTAATAAGATTGAGCTTTCGTTATGAGTCTTTACTTGACAGTTTATCTAATCGTCTGTCATGTGTCACATTTGTTGTCAGGACTGCTTTGAAACATTTTAAATAATTAAATAACACGGAAAAGCAAATATTTTCTCAATCTGTCACAACCTGTCCACAAAAAAAAAATCGATAATTTTTTTACGTAACTCTTAATAAAGAACCCCTTGGTATTGTCCAAAAAGATTGCTTTTAATTCTCTTATGAAGTACAATACAAACATAAAACGTGTATAGCAAATATAGTGTGAAAGAACAGTATGGTGACGAAAATGTATTATAATACGCTTGGATATCATTAAAAAAGAAATACTAAACGGTAGTCAGTATTTCAATTGTCAAAAATAGACAAAACATAGGCCTAATAGGCCTTATTTATAAAATTATACCTTGGTACACAAGTCAAATACTAAAATATAGATATAACAATGGGTTTTGCTATTTCTACCAACTCTATCTACATAAGATTTTTTGAAATATCTTTTTATAAGAATCACCGAACGTCTTATTAGAAATCCCGTACACAATTGGATTTAACATAGAGTTTGTGTATAACAACGCAAAAGTGATGTAAAAAGGGAGTCTACATCGACTGCTTTCTCCTTGCGTTTGAAAAGCAACACCGTGAATAATTGAAGGCAGTATACAGATACTAAAAACACCAAGTATTATGGAAGTCACTCGAGCGGCTTTGAAATCGCTCTTCTTAGGCTGTACCGGTACTATCTGGCATGTAGCAGGCGATACTTGACCGGCTTTTTTCTTAACTTCACGGTATATTCGTAGATGGAAAGTGTATGTTGGAACTGTGGCAACTATCAGACCTATATAAACTACCTTATTATATATATCTTTACTGTACAATGGCGAGATGATAGTAATGACCCAGATGGAGCCAAAAGTCCATGTAGCAATGAGGCATTTCAATACCGATCGCTCGTGTACTTTTATAGCATACATAAATGGATACATGATAGCGAAATATCTCTCTCCCGCTAATAAAAGATGATGAAAAAGAGACAGTCCGATAGTTGATACCAGCAGTTTATGAAGAAACCAATCAAACGAATCTCCAATGTATACAAGGCGTCCATGAAGGGCGAGACGTAGTACCACAACGATTCCAATACACCCGGTTACTACATCTACCAATGCCATGCTAGCCAAAATAATATAACATGGTTTTCGCAATGATCGGATACTATAGACAGAAACAATTACAAATACATTTCCTATAACAATAGAAATTGTTACTAAACTCAAAGGAATCGACAAAATATTAGAAAATACACACATCGGTGTGTAGTCTGTGTTGTTTGCCATTATAAATGCCTATGCATTTATGTTCTTCAGAGCTTGTGATAATTGAACACCTCATTCTTTAAATCTCCAACTAAAATATAGTTTCAATAGCATATCAATCATTAACATGTTTCACCGTCGTGGTTTGCGTCATTTAGTGGCCTGCTCATAGAAAATAGTGTGGTTCATAAGTTGTAGTTCCTCGTCATCTTGTACTGTCAACATATGCTGTTCAGTATGATTGAGCTTCCATTTTGAGTATTTTACTTGACAGTTTAATCGCATGTCATGTGTCACTTTTGCTGTCAAATTTTAACGATTACTTTGAAACATTTAAACTAATTAAACGACACGGAAAAGAAAATGTTGCCTCAATCTGTCACAATCTGTCCAGAAAAAAAATCTTCCTACTATAATTAGTTTACGTAGCTCTTATTAAAAATTCCTTAGTATTGTCCAAGAGAGGACAAAAAATCTGCTATGAAGTATAAACATAAAACGTGATAGCAAAATAATGCAAAAGAATTGCACGACTATGAAACCGTATTATATAATACGTTTGGATATCATTAAAAAAAAAAAAAAAAAAAATCTGTTTTCCATACTAAAGTCAATATTTAAATTATCAAAAATACACAATTATAAGATAGGTTTTATAAAATCATACCCCGGTACACAAGTCAAATACTAAAAATACAGATATAACAATGCGTTTGTTCTTTTCTACCAACTTTATCTACATAACATTTTATGAAATACCTTTTTATAAAAATCACCGAAAGTCTTGTGAGAAATCCCATACACAATTGGATTTAACATAGAGTTTGTGTATAACAGCAAAAATGTGATGTAAAATGGGAGTGTGCATCGATTACTTTCACCTTGTGATTTGAAAGCAACACCGTAAATAATTGTTGGAAATATACAGATACTAAAAACACCAAGTACTATTGAAGTTATCCGCACGGCTTTAAAATCGCTCTTCTTGGGCTGTAATGTCTGACATGTGGCAGGCAATACTTGACCGGCTTTTTTCTTCACTTCACGGTATATTCGTAGATGGCAGGTGTATGTTGGAATTGTGGCCACTACCAGACCTATATTTGTTACATTATTATATACATCTTTACTGTACAATGGCGAGACGATAATAATGACCCACATGGAACCAAGAGACCATAGAGTAATGAGACATTTTAATACCGATCGCTCGTGTACTTTTATAGCATACATAAATGGATACATGATAGCGAAATATCTCTCTCCCGCTAATAAAAGATGATGAAAAATAGACAGTCCGATAGTTGACACCAGCAGTTTATGAAGAACCCAACCAAACGAATCTCCAATGTATAAAATGCGTCCATGAAGTGCGAGACGTAGTACCATAACGATTCCAATACACCCGGTTACTACATCTACCAATGCCATGCTAGACAAAATAATATAACATGGTTTTCGCAATGATCGGATACTGTAGACAGAAGCAATTACAAATACATTTCCTATAACAATAGAAATTGTTACAAAACTGAAAGGAATTGACAAAATATTAGAAAACACACACATCGGTGTGAAGTCTGTGTTGTTTTCCATTCCCTGTTACGCACTCAGGACTCTCCTCTGACTTTCGTTATCTTCGTCCTTTCAGTCAGTATTTCCCATGCACTCTGAAACTGGTGATGATGTTACATGTGAAGGTAAACACCGGTTGTATCTTCATCTTTGTGAAGATATCATAATGCTTTTAATTTAGTACTTAGCAACGTCACCATTCCTATCATCGTTAGTTATTAGGCTTGCCGTCAAATGATGTCAGTTGAACTTTCATTATGAACTGTCTGCTTGAATGTTCTTTTCATTTAAATGAGTTACATTTTAGCATATCGTTTCGTATTTTGCTATCTTAATAAAAGCCGAATCGCAATTGCTGTCAGATTAAAAAAAAAATCTCGCCAAAAAACATTTAGATTAATCCACAGTAGGCCTTATTAAACTTCACCGGAAAGTAAGTAACGGTCACAATAAATATTTATTTCTTTTGAAGAAACAATTAAATCACGATGACATACATGACTGTTTTCCGAATTTAATCTCCGCTATATTGCAGTACCAACAAAGCCAATTTGTAGTTTGAAATGCGTATGTCCGTATCCAAAGCCAATCGACATAAATTATGTTGTGTGTATGTTCGCTTATGTCAATTGACATTGATACGGGCGTGCGCAGTTCAAACTACGAATAGGTTTTTTTTATGGGTGTACTATCCATAGCATGGGTTTTAAGAGTATTGCTCCTGTCTTAACATTGATCCGTCTTCTGCAAGCAATGCCTCCATCCATAGTGCTCTCCTTAGAACACATTAAGTCTGTTTTCCACTAGGCGAATTTATTCACACGAATCCAAAGCGTCGGCTTAGGCACATGCGCATTCACATTCCTATCGGAGTTTTTGCGAAGCGAATAAATGCGCAACTAATCAGAGCTCAGGAAGCGAGCCGACGCTTTGATTAGCGCGAATCACGCGGGGCAAGCGAAGCGAATCGCGCAAAGTTCACAAGAGTTGACTTTCGGTAAAGAATGTCTCGCTTCTAATGATTCGCTTGCTTGTTCCCACTGCTGACCGCGTGCGAAAACTTGAAATGGCGGGTGGCAACAGAGAAGTGATAATGAAACTGATTTTGTTATCGCATGGATAGACGGAGGAAAAGGGCTGTGAGATGAAATCAGATAAAATCCTCAGGATTAACATTCCCAGAACTCCGTAATAAATCAAGAGTGAATATAAACATAGTTTTTTTTTTGTTTTTTTTACTTTTTAGTTCATATTTATTCAAGGCCTAGGCCTAGAGCTAGGCCTCCTAAGGGTAGATAGTAGGCCTAGCCTACCCTACTGTAGGTCTCAGGTAGTAGCAGGGTATCAGAGGCCTAGGCTGGACAGGCAATACCGGTAGAAAGAGGAGATGACTCAACTCTCTGCAAATCCTTTTCCACGCATTGTCACATATTTTCTTTGCTCCCTGGTCACAGACCTAAACAAGGGTAGCATATTGTTTTCTCAGAGATTGCATGGAACGGACTTGTCGGCGCACATCTGTGTTTTGATAATGGTCGGGACCAGCGTGATCACTCACAATTTTTGATATACCCAATGACTGGGTCGAAATTACCCAAGATTCAGCAAAAATTGCCCAAAAATTACCCAAGCTTCTTGAATTGAAAATGCATT